TGTAAGCTATGGTTTAAAATGTAATTAAAACCATAGGCTCTGTCAGGCCTCTGAGCCCAAGCCAAGCCATGGCATCCCTGTGACTTGCACATATATGCCCAGATGGCCTGAAGTAACTGAAGAATCACAAAAGAAGTGAAAATGCCCTGCACCGCCTTAACTGATGACATTCCACCACAAAAGAAGTGAAAATGGCTGGTACCTGCCTTAAATGATGACATTACCTTGTGAAAGTCCTTTTCCTGGCTCATCCTGGCTCAAAAAGCTCCCCCACTGAGCACCTTGTGACCCCTACTACTGCCCGCCAGAGAACAGATCCCCTTTGACTGTAATTTTCCTTTATCTACCCAAATCCTATAGAACAGCCCCACCCTTATCTCCCTTGCTGACTCTCTTTTCGGACTCAGCCCGCCTGCACCCAGGTGATTAAAAAGCTTTATTGCTCACACAAAGCCTGTTTGGTGGTCTCCTCACACGGACGCGCATGACAGCTCCAGGTCACCATGATGTTTCACTAGAAGTCTTGAGAGGAGTAGAGTTTACCTGAGTGGTTTTGAGAACGCAAACACACTCTGTCGCATGGTTAGGGGAAAAGGTTGGAGAGTAACAAACCAGTTACCATCAAGGCACTAAGATAAAGATAATTATCCAGACTGCTATGGACTCAATGTTTGTGTTCCTTCCCCCCTCACAAATTCATATGTTGAAGCCCTAACCCCCAGTGTGATGGTATTCTGAGACAGGGCCGTTGGGATTAGCATTAGTTGGGGTATAAGGGGTAGGCCCTAGTCTGGTAGAATTAGTGCCCTTATCAGACTTTCTTCCTCTCCCCGCCCCTCCTCTCTGTCACCATACTGGAACCCTAATCTGACTTCCAGTCCCCAGAACTCTGAGAAAATTAATTTGTTGCTTGAGCATCCAGTCTATGATATTTTATTGTGACAGCCCAAGTTAAGACACAGGTAAAGGGAAGGTCTTTTTTGTTTTTTAGACAGGGTATCGCTCTGTCGCTCAGGCTGCAGTGCAGCTGCCTGATCATGGCTCACTGCAGCCTGGACCTCTGAGATCAAGTGATCCTCCAGCCTCAGCCTCTCCAGTAACTGGGACTACAGGCATGCGCCACCACACCTGACTAATTTTCATATTTTTTGTAGAAATGAGGTCTTGGCAGGGCACAGTGGCTCATGCCTGTAATCCCAGCACTTTGGGAGGCCGAGGGTGGGTGGATCATTTGAGGTCAGGAGTTCAAGACCAGCCTAGACAACATGGTGAAACACTGCCTCTACTAAAAATACAAAAATTAGGGCCAGAGGCACTGGCTCACACCTGTAATCCCAACACTTTGGGAGGCCGAGGCGGGTGGATCACCTGAGGTCAGGAGTTCGAGACCAGCCTGGCCAATATGGTGAAACCCCATCTCTACTAAAAATACAAAAAAATTAGTGGGGCGTGGTGGCAAGCATCTGTAATCCCAGCTACTCAGGAGGCTGAGGCAGGAGAATTGCTTGAATTCTGGGAAGAGGAGGTTGCAGTGTGCCGAGATCCTGCCACCGCACTCCAGTCTGGGCAACAGAGCCAGACTCCATCTCAAAAAAAGAAAGAAAAGAAAAAGAAAAACAGTAAGTATAAGAAGAGTGCTCTAACCTCCCCTTTTCTTCCTGAAAGCAGGAAAGAAAACTCCCATGTGAACAATGCCTTCCTCCAGGAGGAAGGAAACATTATCACCAGAGACAGGGAGTCAAAGCTGAGAGAATTCTCTATAAACAGACCTTATTAAAATATCTCTCATCTTCCTTTAGCCTCCCCATATATTTTATTATTATTATTTTTTTGGAGACAGAGTCTCACTCTGTCACCCAGGCTGCAGTGCAGTGGCACGATCTCGGCTCACCGCAACCTCTGACTCATGGGTTCAAGCGATTCTCCTGCCTCAGCCTCCCTAGTAGCTGGGACTACAGGCACACACCACCACACCTGGCCAATTTTTGTAGTTTTTGTAGAGATGGGGTCTCACCATGTTGCCCAGGTTGGTCTCAAACTCCTGGGCTCAAGCGATCCACCCACCTTGGTCTCCCAAAGTGCTGGGATTACAGGTGTGAGCCCCTGCGACTGGCCTCCCCATATATTTTAGCTTCTTTTCTACAATTAGCTCTTTGTTCAACCTAGTACAAAACATTTAGGTTTTCCTTCTTTGGGTCTTCACTGCTTTATGAGGGCTCCTGTGTCACATAAAATTTATATTAAGTAAATCTGTATGCTTTTCTCTTGTTAATCTGTTTTATGTCAATTTAATTCTCTGTCCCAGCCAGAGACCCTAAGAGGGTAGAGGTAAAGTTTTGCCTTCCCTACGTTCTGTTATCTGACATGCTCAGGAGTGGATTATTTTATTTCAACTTAAAAAAATACATTAATTTTCCATCTGTCAAGTGTGGTCAGGGTCTTTTCTTTGAGGATGGAGCCTGTGACTGGATTCCTCATCTTCTTTCTTACATAAACCTCACCAGTTATGTATCACCTGCAATTTCCAGTTTACGTCCTTAAAGTGAAACAGTTAATGGCATGTTTGAAGCAATCTTGAGTGTAGAATTTATTTATATTTTTATGATTATTCTCCCAATTTGTAATAATCTTGTTGCTCACATCTAATTCCATAGCAGCTTTTATCTTTTCTTTTGAGACAGAGTCTCACTCTCTTGCCCAGGCTGGAGTGCAATGGCATGATCTTAGCTCACTGCAACCTCCACCTTCCAGGTTCAAGTGAATTATCCTGCTTCAGGCTCCCGAGTAGCTGAGATTACAGGCGTGCACCACCACGCCCCAGCTAATTTTTTGCATTTTTAGTACCGACAGGGTTTCACCGTGTTGGCCAGGCTGGTCTCAAACTCCTGGCCTCAAGTGATCCATCCACCTTGGCCTCCCAAACTGTTGGGATTACAGGCATAAGCTACCATGCCCAGCCCACAGTAGCTTCTTAAAGTAACTCAGAGGTCGGCTGCAGTGGCTCACGCCTGTAACCCCAGCACTTTGGAAGACCGAGGCAGAAGGATCACCTGAGGCCAGGAGTTTGAGACCAACCTGGCCAACATGGCGAAACCCTATCTCTACTGAAAATACAAAAATTAGCCGGGCTTGGTGGCATGCACCTGTAATCCCAGCTACTCGGGAGGCTGAGGTAGGAGAATCGCTGGAACCCAGGAGGTGGAGGTTGCAATGAGCCGAGATTACACCATTGCACTCCAGCCTGGGAGACAGAGTGAGAGTCCATCTCAATAAATAAATAAATAAATAAACAAATAAATAAAGTGACACTCAGGCTGGGCGCAGTGACTCACACCTGTAATCCTAACACTTTGGGACGCCAAGGTGGGAAGATGGCTTGAGCCCAGGAGTTTGAGACCAGCCTAGGCAACATAGTGAGACCCTGTCTCTATACATATATGTATTTTTTAATTAGCCTGGCATGGTGGTGCACCTGTAGTCCTAGTGGGAGGCTGAGGTGGGAAGGTCGCTTGAGCCCAGGGGTTTGAGGCTGCAGTAAGATGTGATCGTGCCACTGCACTACAGCCTGAGCAAGACCTTGTCTCAATAAATAAATAAATAAACTCACTTTTTCCTCCATCACTGGAGGAAAAATATATTATTATAAAGAATAATAATAATACAGAAAAAGTAACTTACTTTAGTCGAGTCTTCTAAGGATCCAACTTAGTTTTGGTTTTTTTTGTTTTTTTTTTTTTTTTGAGACGGAGTCTCGCTCTGTCGCCCAGCCTGGAGTGCAGTGGCCGGATCTCAGCTCACTGCAAGCTCCGCCTTCCGGGTTTACACCATTCTCCTGCCTCAGCCTCCCGAGTAGCTGGGACCACAGGCGCCCACCACCTCGTCCAGCTAGTTTTTTGTATTTTTCAGTAGAGACAGGGTTTCACCGTGTTAGCCAGGATGGTCTCCATCTCCTGACCTCGTGATCCGCCCATCTCGGCCTCCCAAAGTGCTGGGATTACAGGCTTGAGCCTCCACGTCCGGCCCCAACTTAGTTTTTATAGAAACAGTGATTTGTTTTCCACTCTCAGTTCATCAATTTATTTTTTTTTAAAGATACATTTTCTTTTACATCGACATGGGGTCTCACTATGTTGCCCATGGTGGTCTCAAACTCCTGGGCTCAGGCAATCCTCCCACCTTGGCCTCGCAAAGTGCTAGGATTACAGGGATGAGCCATTTCACCTGGCCTGTTCATCAATGTATATAGTATTTAATTAAATTATGAATTACAGTAACACACACAATGGGCATAAACACACTTGGTATTAAATCACAACTGCCTCTGGGTAAGCAAGGGCTTAGCTGGGGGAGTGGAACTGCACAGCATTCTAGAAAGTGCTCACTGCCTGGATTTGATTCCCAACTTCTCTACATACTAGTTATGTGATCTGGGAATTCAGACTACTGAAGCTTTGTGCCTTATTTTCCTCATTTGTGAAAGGGGATGATAATAGCACCTCATATATTTGTTGTGAGGATTAGAGGAGAATACACTTGTGAAGCACCTAGAATAGGGTGGGGCATGAGCTAAGTACTTGGGACATGTTACATCACATCATTGTTCCTGTGGCTGCTGGCAGGAGCTGTCCAACAGGCTACAGCCTAGGCCTGCGCCCAGCATCCTCTATGTTTCACAGAGGAAGTAGGGTGCATCGGTTGGGTAAGATGCCTCTTCTGTAGTATTATATCCTCATTTCCCATAGGCAAAAATGGAGGTCTGGAGACAGTCAGTGACTCCAAAGCTACTTGACCACGAAGTCAGTTTTTAGAACTCCCAGGCCCCTAGCAATCATAAGATTTGGATCCAGAAAGACAAAGGGAATTTGCCATCCATTTTCCTTTTTTATTTTACCTACTGCTCCAAAACTCCCAAGGAAGAACAAACAGAACCTCTCAGGGCCGAGCCTGCAAAAAGCCCTTGCCCAGCATCCTCAGGAGTCCACGAGCTGCACTGTGTTCCGCGCCCCTGCAGGGCTGAGCAACTGGGAAGAGGCTTGGTCCCCAGGACCCCCTAGCATGTGCATGTTGGGCAGGTGCTTCAGCGATGAGGGCTGCGGCCGGCAGGGGGAGGTCACACGATAGTGCAGATGCCCGACTCCATGGGTCTCCTCTGGCAGCTCCTGCTGAGGCTTTCCCTGGGCCACTTGGATGACCTGAAAAAGGCAGGGAGGGGCTTGCCAGTAGGGGTGACTGGGGAGACAGCAGGAGGCAGCCTGCCCTGGCTTCAGCTTCCTTTGCCCTATTTGGCCCTTACCTCTGCTGGTGGGCTCCAGAGAAGGAGGGAGTTGGCTTAAGCTTCATATCCCCCCATCCTGCAGCACCCTGTCTTTCACTGAGGCCTATCATCAGGCCATTCAGGAAGCAGGGCATACCCCGGGCTTCCAGAGCTGGGTGAGAGTTGTTCACATTGCTAAAGGGCAAAGACAAAGGGGAGCTCGGGGCCCTATATCCCAAGCATGAGATCCCAGCTTCCCGTAACTTCAACAGCAGTCGTGTTCCATTAATATCATCCCAAGCCACATATTCTACTTTCTTTGCTATTCTCCAGGCCTCCTGCTCTCCCCCAAGGACCCACCTATTGACTTGAGGGCCATTGGGTACCAGGATGCTAGGGTACTCCGCTCTGGGAGGGCCTCGACCTACAAATGGAAAATGGGCCCTGGGTCCTGGACCTAGATGGAGAAGGACAGACACATTCATCACATGCCTCTCTGCACCGAGAACTATCATGGTGGAAAAAAGCTCTGGAGAAGAACCAGGAGTTGGGGCGGTGTCAGGGGAGGCACTGCTCACTATACACGGAGGCTTTGCCGAGGACTGGCCCTCTGCAGGGCAAGTGCTTGGTAAACATGGGGCAACTAGAAGCTAGATGGTGGGAATGATTCACTGTGCCTGGAAGGAAACACACTGAAAAGGAGACATCAGTAAATTCAGGTCAACTCAATAAGTAGCAAGGAACTCTGCTCCCCGAGTTGCAAGTCTTTGTGGGAGAGGCTATTGAGTAGTGAGCTGGGGATTACAAGCAGCGCCCAGTGCTGTGTTGGGCATAAAGTAGGCTTTCAACAAAACCCTGGGGTCCAAGATGCAAAGTTCTAGAAGTTAGGAAAGCCATGAGAGCAGGAAGAAAGAGGCAGTTCTAGAAAGAGTTCAGGGAAAATGGTCCAGGGCCTTGAGAGACAAGCAAAAATCAGGGGAGGGCTGTTGGGGAGTTGTGAACTGGGACAGTCAGGGTCAGGGGTGGTGCGAAGTTGTGCCAGGCCTCAGAGAAATGACAACAGGAAGGCGGGATGGCAGGATGGGTGTAAGAAGTGGAGGCAGGCAGGTGGGGGCGGGAGTGCCACATTTGCAGTGCGGAGAGGCACCACCAGGAATACTCTACATCAACTCACGCTCCAGTCTCCCCGGCCCAGCCCTCATGGGAACGTTTGCCGACCTCTCCTCTTTTTTCTCCTGGTGGCCCTCCTCAAACTCTTCATCTTCCCACCCGCTGGAAGATCTGTAGGGGCAAGGAACGAGGGCACAGCTTGGCAGAGCGACACCAGTCCCCTCCTCCCTGGGGGTATGCATGAGGTCCTACCCCACTGCGACAGCCCCCAACACCCTGCAGAGGCTGCATACATCCCTGCTGCACCGTTCCCACCCTCACCTGTGCTGGGCACCTGCTGCACTGCTTCCTGCCTTTGCTGGGGTCCCCTCCACCTGGCTGGCCCCACCTGGAGCCTGGAGTCTTCCTGGAGCCGAGGTCTGGGAATGAAGGGGAGTAGAGGGACTAGGTCTGAGAAAAATGGCCATCCCAGCTATGTGTGTGCCAGGGTCTCGGAGAATACAATTCTGGGGTGAGGTTCTTTGTTCTATTAAGGTCCCTGCTAGTAACTCTCAAGCTTGAATTCAGATTTAGGGACTAGCAGACCTGGCCAGCGTCTAACGGCCACCCCATCCCTTCTGGGGCCTGATATGGTAAAGTCACAGAAAGTAGGTGGCAGACATTGGCTGGGACCCAGGTATTCTGACCCCTCAATCCAATCCTCTGCCTGTACCAGGCAATTTAATTTTTCTTGCAGATTTTAAATATGGTGTCTTTAAATGTGATCTTTAAAATGCGGGAGCATAAAATCTATTACATACATATAAATATTAAAGTATAATTTCAATTCCTGGAGTGGGAAGAGGTTTTCTGGGGTTGTCTGAAAATGTGAAGGAGGAGGCGGTTGGAGAGTCAACGAATCATACAAAGAGACCCGGAGATAGAAACAAGTTAAAGCAGAGACAGGGAAGGAGTAACACGGTGGAGACCCACAGAGAAATGAACTCTAGAGACTTAAAGACGGGAGAGAGGGACTTCCTTGGAGCACATCTCCATCCTGTGGCCATTTAGGGAACTGCAGTCAAGGACTTGAAACTTTCTACCTCCTTGCACACATGGTCTACCGATTCTTTTAAATTTATTTATTTATTTTTAATCACCTACATATCAGCCCTTGTGTTGGAGACATGCCGCAGTCCCACACCCACCTCCCACCCCTGGAAAGTGACATATCTCATGCGCAGGCTCAAGGCGGATGAACACAGATGAGCTGCCAAGCGCGCCGCATCCCAGGGAACATCGGCTCTGCTTACCACCAACCCCTTCTCTGGGTAACCTCTCTCCACCCCCATCTCCTTGTCTCAGGTGTCATCTCACCAGGGTGTGACCAGCCCCACCTGGGCCAAGTGCGTCCTCACGGTGTCTGCCAGCTTGGCCACCAGCCGTTCTCGCACAGAATCTGGCTCCTTCTGGGAAGAGGGTGATAATAGGGTAATGGGGAATGCTTGGACTTTGTGGTCCTCTGGGGGTTGGGGAAGAAGGAAGCAGGAAAGGGAGGAGGGAGCGGGACTTTGTTTCCCCCTCTCTTCTACCCCATCCCCATGCCTTTCCCAGGGTCCTGCCACCACCTGCCCAGAATTGCGGACGGTGATGGACTCTTCCTCACAATAGTATCCCAACACCTAGCACACAGTGTGTCCGATGCTGTGGGAGAAGGCAAGGAGTGAAGGCAGGAATGTCAGCCGGAAGAGGGATAGCAGGGGAGAGGTGGATTCCGGGATACAGGGTCTCACCTGACACTGGGCCAGTGCTTCCTTATAGTACTTCAAGGCCTGGTCATACTGCCCCAGCCTGGTTGCAGCAGCCCCCAGACCCTCACAGGCCTGCCACTGTCCCTTCATGTCCCCTGAGAAAGAGAGCCTGGAAGGTCCTTTCATGGCTCCCTACCCCACTGACCCGTGCCTTCAGAGGCACTCCCTACCCTCAGTTCCCTCCATCTGCCTCCCCACCAGCTCCTAGGACCCTCAGCCTCCCCGCTGGCCCAGTCACATGCCAACCCCCTCACGCTTACCAGAGTCGCGGGCAGCCTGCAGGGCATGCAGGTAGTTGTCTCTGGCAGCCTTGTGGTCCCCCAGCTGGCTCAACGCAAAGGCCAGGCTGCCAAAGCTCCGGCCCTGCTCCCACCGCTGCCCCACAGAGCCTGAGGACAGAGCCCACCCCATCCTCAGAGGGGACTCTGGCTGCTGGGACATTAGGACTCCGCCCTCCAGCAACCAAGACAGAGCTCCCAGGAGGCCTGGTGCCCAGCCCCAGCACACTCCAGATGCATCCGAGAAGGCCTGAACCCTCCACTCCCAGCCTGGACCCATCCTGAGCTCTGGTGTGGGTGCCTCCACCTGGCTAGTTTGAGTCAGGCAACAACCTTGTGATACAGGCAAGGCAGGTATTAATGGCCCTGTTTTTATAAATGCGAAAACTGAAGCTCGGAAAGTGAAAGTGATTCCTGAATGTCACACAGTCAGCAGAGGGGCTGAATTCCACTTCAGGCCTCCTCTCCCAGCCAGTACCCTTCCCCCTGCCCACTGCTGCCTTCCCAACCCTGAAGTCTCGGCCTCTGGGCCCACAACCCTCTGTCCTGTCTGACTGTCCCATCTCCTGCACTTCCAGCTCTCCCCCACTGGTTATGGATTTTCAGGCTCCATAAGTGGTCCCAAAGGGCCATCCACCCTTAAGCCTTGGGGCCCCTTTTGGAAACCCTTCTTAGTGTCTTAGTCCCAGTCCCATTCCCCGGCCCCGGGCACCCACCATGCAGGTCAGCAGCCTTCTGGTGAAACTCCTGAGCTTCTTGATAGTTGCCAAGGGCGTTGTGGGCCATCCCAAGGTTTCTTAGCACTGTGGCCTGCTCTCCTGGCACCCAGCACAGAGGAAGGGCCTGCAGGAAGGCCTCCACAGCCAGCGGAAACAGCCGGAGCTGGGAGTAGCCCAGGCCTAGATCATTATAGAGGTGCCCTAGAGGGCATAGCCAGGGTCACTGATAGCCGGACCAGATATAAATAAGGCTGGTACAGCCCCTATCCAATCCTCCAGGGTTCCCCAAACCCAGCCCTCTGAATAGCACCAGGCTTTGTGTCTCCCCAGATCCCACACCGTCCCTGCCCAAAGATCTCACCCAGCAGTCCCCTCTCAGTGCTCCTCTCGGCAAGCCTCCGGCTTTTCTCCAGCACCTGCACAACTTCCCCTACCCGATGCCGCCCACTCTTCAGCATACATCCTGCCGCAGCCCCCAGTGCCAGGGCTGCGGCCTGCAGCTGCCTCTCTTGGACATAGGCCCGGCTTGCTTCCCGCAGGCAGTCGGCTGCTAGCTCAGGCTGTCCCAGAGCCTGGTAGCAGGCTCCCATTTTTGCCCAGGCTTCTCCCTGGTCACCCTGTGGCTGGTAGTGGCCCAGGGCCCTGTGGTACCAGGCCAAAGCTTGAGGCAGCTCGCCAAGGGCATGGTAGGCCAAAGCCACATTGAAACACTGGTCTCCATGACGCCTGCCCTGTGCCTTCTCTTCAGGGTGGGCTCGCAGGAGCAGCTCAAGGCCTCTGGCTGGGTCCCCAGTCTCCACATAGGCAGCCCCCAGGTTGAAGGCGCAGGCCCGGAGCACCAAGGTGTCCCCGGTTTGTGGGGTCTTAGAGGCCAGAAGGAAGGCCCTCTGGAAGTTGTTCAAGGCTTCATGGTTCCGGCCAGCCTGAAGGGCCCCGTGGCCAGCCCTGGTGAGGGCTTGGATGCTGGCTTCTTGCCGCAGCCACTTTCTTTTCTTCTTTGTCTTATTGGAGCTTGAAGGCTCAGGCTCTGGCCTCTGGGGCACATCCTCAGGGTTGGGGGAAGACATAGAGCTGACAGAGGGGAACAGAGGGATCAGTATGTCAGCCTTGGCTTCCTCTAGAGCAGGACCTCCTTCGAGAAATTCAGCTCTACCCTGCCCTAGCATGACCCTCAGGGTTTCAAGGATTGCTCTCTGACCTCTCACTTTGTTTCTTCTGTCCCACTGGGTACCATGTCCACTCTCACTCTAACGTCCTAATTCTTAGTCCTCCTTCAAGACTCAAGTCAAGTAACAGCTTGCTTCAGAACACACCTTCTTCTCAACCAGCTGGGTACTCCTGTGGTCCCATAGCACCTGATGCCTATGTCTTTTATAGCATTTATCACACTGGGTCAGAGTTGATGACTTTCTTGTCTTCCCCCTGCTACTAGATTTGGAGCAACTTGCAGGGTCTGGCACATAGTAGATTCACAATAAATGTTTTTGGAAGGAGATGAAAAAGTTCTGGAGATGGATGCTGGTGTTGATTGCACAATAATGTGAGCATACTTAATGCCACTGAACTGCACATTTTAAAATGATTAAAATGGTAAATTGTATGTTATATATATGTTACCACCATACAAATGTTTTTAGAATGAACAAATAGGCCAGGTGCAGTGGCTCACACCTGTAATCCCAGCACTTTGGGAGGCTGAGGTGGGCAGATCACGAGGTCAAGAGATAGAGACCAGCCTGGCCAACATGGCAAAACCCTGTCTCTACTAAAAATACAAAAATTAGCCGGGCGTGGTGGTGCACACCTGTAATCCCAGCTACCTAGGAGGCTGAGGCAGGAGAATTGCTTGAACTTGGGAGGTGGAGGTTGCAGTGAGCTGAGATCATGCCATTGCACTCCAGTCTGGGTGACAGAGCGAGACTCCATCTCAAAAAAAAAAAAAAAAAAAAACAACCGCAAATAAATAGATGAAGGAACCACATATGCAGGGCCTCTCCTCCATAACCTCCTTCACACTGTGCCTCTACTAATACCCACCCACTCATCATCTGGGTACTTCTGCTATCTAATCTCAAGATGTAGTTTAGGTCAGTTCAACAAGCACTCAGTAAGTCCCTGCTATGTGCTGGGAGTCACACTAGGCACTGGGGACCCTAGGGTGAGGAGGCTCCTGAATTGGCAAGGAGCCAACCTCCAGGAGAGCAGGATTCTCTGAAAAGGAGTGTGGTGTGGGATGGAACATCCATTTACTGCCCCTTCCCTAGCTCAAGGAGAAGCTCTCTCTCTCCATTTCTTCTGCTTTCTGTCTGCTGGCTGGTTCCAGGCCCCCAGCCTTCTGCTCTGGTCTCCAGAGCCTCCCGAATACAAGCATCTCATCAGCTTGTATATCCTGTTAGTATCTTTCCCCTCGAAGGGCAAAGGCTTTTCATGAACTCTTCTCCCAGGAGACGGAAAAAAGAGTGGAGAAGACCCAGGCCCTGGGCTCTTGACCCCTCCCATTTTATTCTTTTTCCCCCTTTTTTAGAAGGAGCAGGCAGAGGAAAAACAGTCTCTTTTAAAAGAAATTCCCCTCACTTCTAAGAACACCCAGAAATCCTGCCTTTTCAAGGCCTTCCACTCCAGGGCATTCCTGACTACCCCCATGCAGTGTGGGGACACCCACTGCAGGACACCTTACCTCCTTGGGTCTTCTCCGCAGCTGTCTCTCTGGAATGGCCCCTCCGGCTTGGGTTACCTCCCTAGCTGTTAGCTCAAAGCCCTGGAGGTTACTAGACAACCAGGTACCACCCTCCACTCCTAGGGAATTATTTGAGTGGCAGTTCTGGGGCCGTATCTTAGTGCTAAACCTCGATAGTGCTGCAGACACACCCCCTCAAGTCCCTCACTTCAAGAAATGAATCAAGGCATCAGAGGGGCGCTTACTAGTTATACCCCCAGATATCATCTACTTCGTCCCCTCATTTCACAGAGGAGGGGACCAAGCCTCAAACAGCAGATGTGATTTAACTAAGGTCAAAGAGCAGTCATGTAGCTGGGGTTAGACTAGGTTTTTTTTGAGACGGAGTCTCTATCACCCAGACTGGAGTTCAGTGGCACCATCTCGGCTCACTGCAACCTCCGCCTCCCGGGCTCAAGTGATTCTCCTGCCTCAGCCTCCCGTATAGCTGGGATTACAGTTGCACGCCACCAAGACCAGCTCATTTTTGTATTTTTAGTAGAGATGGGGTTTCATCATGTTGGCCAGGCTGGTCTCAAACTCCTGACCTCAAGTGATCCAGCTGCCTCAGCCTCCCAAAGTGCTGGGATTACAGGCGTGAGCCACCGTGCCCAGTATTTTTTTTTTTTTTTTTTTTTTGAGACAGAGTCTTGCCGTGTCGCCTAGGTTGGAGTGCAGTGGCGCGATCTCAGCTCACTGCAACCTCTGCCTCCTGGGTTCAAGTGGTTCTCCTGCCTCAGCCTCCCAAGTAGCTGGGATTACAGGTGCCTGCCATACACCTGGTTAATTTTTGTATTTTTGTAGAGACTGGGTTTCACCATGTTGGCCAGGCTGGTCTTGAACTCCTGACCTCAGGTGATCTGCCTGCCTCTGCCTCCCAAAGTGCTAGGATTACAGGCGTGAGCCACTGCGCCCGGCCAACTCTAGGTTTTTTGATTCAAGGTGAGTAGCCTAGGGTCCCTTCCACTACACTGTGTGATTGCAAGTTTTTTTGTTTGTTTGTTTGTGTTTTTTTTTTTTTTTTTTTTTTGAGACAGAGTCTTGCTCTGTCATCTAGGCTGAAGTGCATAGATGATCATAGCTTACTGCAGCCTCTACCTCCTGGGCTCAAGTGATCCTCTCACCTCAGTCTCCTGAGTAGCTGGGACCACGGGCATGTGCCACCACACCTGGCTCATTATTATTATTATGATTATTATTATTGTAGAGATGGGGTTTTGATATGTTACCCAGGATGGTCTCAAACTCCTGAGCTCAAATGATTGTCCTGCCTTGGCCTCCCAAAGTGCTGGGATTACAGACTGCACCTGGCCTGACCTGTGATAGCAAGCTTTAATGGGGCTTGAGCTGTCCTGGAAGTGAACACTCTCTCTCTCTCTCTCTCTCTCTCTCTCTCTCTCTCTCTCTCTCTCTCTCACACACACACACACACACACACACACACACACACACAGTCTCTCACACACACACACACACACACACACACACACACTCTCTCTCTCTCTCATACTCTCTCTCTCTCTCTCTCACATACTGTGCTTCTGTGTGGTGGTTTCACATTTGGGAACAGGGTGAAAGGTTGATAGTCAGGAAAGGCCTGGAGATTAGAAGAGACTCCCCCCAGACTCCTTTTTCCAACTCCGCTGATCTGCAACCTACAGTTTCTGCTTAATGAGAGGACAGCAGGCCGCAGGACGATGGGAATATAATGCCCTAACTCACCAAGGGTGGCCTGCATCAGAAAGCAAACGTCCTCATTGCCTAGGGAAAGTCCTCTTTTAAGTAAAGAGGGCTTTGCCAGAAACAAAATTATGAAGTGATGGGGCTCACCTGCATTTGGCCTGCAGCCTTTGCTAAATGCCTGCTATGTGCAGGCCTAGTGCTGGGTGCTACAGATGGTGCTGTGGCAGAGTGAAAAAATGGCTTCTCTCTACCTTTCTAGATTCTATGGCTGGGCTACAAATTAAATTGACACAAGACAGATTAGCAGGAGAAAAACCATTTTAATTACAGTCATGCTTTGCTTAGCAACAGGGATATGTTCTGAGAAACGCATCATTAGGTGATTTTATCGTTGTGCAAACATCATAGAGTGTACTTACACAAACTTAGATGGTGTAGCCTACTACACACCCAGGCTCTCTGGTATAGCCTATTGCTCCTAGGCCACAAACCTGTACAGCATGTTGCTCTCCTGAATACTGTCACCAAATGTCATTCAATGATATTTGTGTATCTAAACATATCTAAACAGAAGAAGTACCCTAAATAGATGGTATAAGAGATTTAAGTGGGGTGCAGTTGCTCACACCTGTAATCCCAGAACTTTGGGAGGCTGAGGTGGGTAGATCACTTGAGGCCAGGAGTTCGAGACTAGCCTGGCCAACATGGTGAAACCCTGTCTCTACTAAAAATACAAGAATTAGCTGCACGTGGTGGCACACACCTGTAATCCCAGCGACTGGGGAGGTTGAGGCGGGAGAATTGCTTGAACCCAGGAGGCGGAGGTTGCAGGGAGCTGAGATCACACCACTGCACTCCAGCCTGGGTGACAAAGGGAGACCCTGTCTCAAAAAAAAAAAAAAAAAAAAAAAAAAGGAGATTTAAAATGGTACACCCGTATAGGGCACTCACCATGAGTGGAACTTGCAGAACTGGAAGTTACTCTGGACAAGTTAGTGAGTGAGTGGTGAGTGAACGTGAAGGCCTAGGACATTACTATTTTTTGTTTATGTTTTTGTTTTTTGAGACAGAGTCTCTCTCTGTCACTCAGGCTGGAGTGCAGTGGTGAAATCACAACTCACTGCAGCCTTGGCCTCCCGGGCTCAAGTAATCCTCCCTATTAGCCTCCTGACTAGCTGGGACTACAGGCGTGTGCCACCATGCCCAGCTAACTTAAAAAATTTTTTTTCGTGTAGAGACAGGGTCTCACTATGTTGTCCAGGCTGGCCTTGAACTCCTGGGTTCAAGTAATCCTCCTGCATGAGCCTCCAAAGTGCTAGGATTACAGGCATGAGCCACCATATCCAGCCTAGGACATTACTATACATATATATATGACTGGCAGCACGGTAGGTCTGTTTACACCAGCATCACCACAAACATGTGAGTGACGTGTTGTACTAAGATGTTAGGGTGGCTACAACATCACTAGGTGATAGGAATATTTTAGGTCTCTTATAATCTTATGGCACCACCATTGTATATGTGATTTGTTGTTGACCAAAACATTGTTATGAGGCTCATGACTGTATGTGCATATACACAGGAGTCCCATAACACATGGGACTCAAAGAAAGGTCAGATGATTGACGTTTATATAGCATCCCCAGCTACAGAAAGGAATAGAGGTTGGGGCATCTCGGGGGTGGTGTTGATCCAAGTTATTGGAGGGTGAGGGGAGCAAGTGCATGGTGAACAGAGGTTGTCCGGCTAGGACAAACAAAAGTTATCTCAGAGCAGCCCTCTTCCTGATACAGATACTTTACTAATGTAGATTTCCTTTACAGATATAAATTTCTTTTATGAAAGGACAACTTTTCAGAGCTACTCCTATGTCTGCAGTTTCTCAGAATAACCTGCTCAAAATATGCCAAAGAAGTATATTTTGAGGTGGCATATTACAGTTTCCTACAGTCATATTTTGGGGTGGTGTGTCCTGAGTCCCATGCCCAAGGCAGGCTAACCCAGCTGTCCGCAGCTTCTGCAGACAGCTGGGCCTTTAAGATGCTACCACAGCCTGGTCAGGGCCAAATATGCAGCTCAGTTTGTCCTTCACTCAGTAGGCTTCCCTTAAGAAGGGAGGATGATTTAGGGAGAGGGCAGGGACTGAAACTGTTCTCACCAAGGCTCCAATGACCTCCCAATTATCCAGCAATCATTTCTGAATCATTTTCTTGTTTGATTCCTTTCTGTATCCACCACATCCTTGCACTCTTTTTTCACCTGGCTTCCATAACGTTCTGTTTCCTGGCTCTCTCTTTCCTTCTCTGAAAATTCCATTTGCATCTCCTTTGCTGGGCCCTCTGTCTGCCTCTTAAATGCTAGTGTCCCCCAACGTACTGCCCTTTGCTATTTTCTCTTCTTACTTTATATACTCTTCTAAGAACATTTCACTGACTCCTGTGATTTTAACACCACTGATGGACTGATAATTTCTAAATGTATACCTGTAGATATAACCTGTCCAAGTGAAACTCACAGTTCCCTAACTGTACCGTTCCCGTGTTCTCAGTGTTAATAGTAGACCAACAACCGAGTCTCCAAACCAGAAACCGAGGAGCCGTTCATTCTTGACTCCTTCTCTGGCTCTCAATCCCAGCCTGTTGATTCTACCTTTGAAATCCTCCTCTAGTATACCCTTTGTACTGCAGTCTCATGCCTTGGAGGTGGTATAGTATATAGTGGTTAAAAACTCAAGCTTGGGGCCAGGCGTGGTGGCTCATGCCTGTAACCCCAGCACTTTGGGAGGCTGAGGCAGGCGGATCACCTGAGGTCAGGAGTTTGAGACCAGCCTGGCCAAAATGGTGAAACCCCGTCTCTACTAGAAATACAAAAAAATTAGCCAGGCATGGTAGTGGGCACCTGTAATCGCAGCTACTTGGGAGGCTGAGGCAGGAGAATTGCTTGAACTCAGGAGGTGGAGGTTGCAGTGAGCCGAAATCGTGCCAATGCACTCCAGCCTGAGTAACGGATTGAGACTTTGTCTCAGAAAACAACAACAACAACAACAACAACAAAAAAAAAACACTCAAGCTTGGGGTGCAACTATCTGCACTTAGCTCTAGTCTCTACCCATTATTAGCTGTGTGACCTTTCTAAGCCTCAGTTTCTAATCTGTACTGTAAAGATTAAATAAGACAGTTCTTGTAAGAGGATGCTAAATATAGTACCTATCATATAGTAAACACTATATGTTTGTTGGTCCATAACTCTGGTGTGGAGGAAATTCATCTCTACTCAACTTCCGTTTCAAGCCCTGATTCCACTGGGATGATGGGAACAATGTGAATCAGTTTGGGGATTTGCCCCCTCCTTTTCCCCAGGGTGGAGTCTAAGTAGGGGGAGGTATATGATGCCAAGGTGAGGCTCATCTGGTCCTCAGCCATCTATTCACAAAGGTGTCCACCGACACCTTCTTTCTTCTCATCTACCTGGCCCTTTCAAG